CTTCTAAAAATGGAATATATAAAATTTAATTATAAAGATATTATAAAAATCTAATCCTTTTTGAAAAATTCGAATTAATATAAAAGTTATTATAGAAATAGTTTTTTTATAACGAAAATCGTGATAATTTCTACTTTTTTTTTATAGAATATAATAAGAAAGTTTATATAAAAACTATATATTCAAAAAACTAAATTTTTATTATTCTTTAATATTCTTTTTTATTAAGAAAATAATGATTGGTTATTAAAATATAAGTATAAAAAAAAGCTCAATTTTGATGTATTTTTGAAGTGAGTCATATACTAATATAAGCTACGCACTAATAAATCATATTATATGGAATTTCAATAATAGAGGATTTATAATAGAGATTATCAATATTAATATAATAATTATTAGTATTAAAAGAAATAATATAAGTAAAATAGTACAATTAGATAATCAAAAATAACTAATAATAATAATAATAATAATAATAGAAATAACATAGTTTATTAGTATATATATCATATTAGTATATATACTACTCATTTTATATACAAAATTCGTTTATATATAACTATATACTTTCTTTATTTATTTATTAATATAATTTGATTTTTTTGTAACGAAAATCGTGAAAATCTCACTTTTTTTTAATATATTAAAAATATAAATATATAAATTAAAAATATAAATATATAAATTAAAATTTTAAATATTTTTATTTTTATTATTATTAACTCTTCTTTTCTTTTCAAAAATAAATATTGATTTATTGTTAAAATATAAATATTAAAAAATATAATTTTAATACTATTTTGAAATAATTTATATAATAATGTAGCCTATATATTAATAGATTATATCATAAAATTTAATATTATATTGAAGTAATATAACACATTATAAATTATTAGAATCTTAATAGTTTTAATCATTTGATTTAATTATTATTGAATAATATAGGGTTGAAAGTGTAAATTGAGGTAAAAGTGGTGTATATACTAATATGGTATACGTAATAATAAACTATATTATTATGTTTTTGTTTCTGATAATTTAAAAATAATTTCTTTTTAATCAACATATTTAAACTAATTTTCCTATAAATCAGATTATTAAATCTAAAAGTAATAAATGAACAAATTATAAAATACAATTAAAATAATTAAAATGTTTTAATAAATATATAATTAATCAATAAAAGAATAAACATAGAATGTTAGTACTAAATAAGTACAAAGGCTATAAATTAATATTATTCCAGAATTATTACAAAAATAATAACATCAAATATGTTTATTCATTATTACATTTAAATTATTTAATTTGATTTTTAATATTAAATATTTTAATATTCTACAATAAAACTATAATATTCAAATTAAAGGGTTTATAGGAATATGTATATAAATTATGTTTTGAAGATTGAATTCCTTATAGCTTTTAAAATTATATATAATAATTAGTCATGAATAAAAATATAAAAACTAAACTCTAGGGAATAGAATTAATTTCGTTTAATTCTGAAATAATATTTTGTGAATTAGGTGTTTAAATCTATATATTTAGTTCTCCTCATTTCGATTTAGATCTTTAAATTTTTCAAATTCTTTATAGTTCTATAAAGACTTTTTCTTAATTAATACCAATTAAATCTTAGGTAATTTATTATTAATTAAGCTTTTTTATATTTATATTTAAGATTATACCAACTTTAATTAAAGGTATAAAAAGATTAATATATAAGAATAGACTTTTAAATATCAAAAATTATATATTTTAAAAAGCAAATAAAATATCAAATGAATATTAATATATATAAAAAGGCACAATTATATTAAAAAGAAATATTTACTAAATAGAAAATTATAAATATATTATTTTAATAAAAAATTAATATTTAGATTTAACAAAGTAAGTATTAAAATAGAGAAAATTCTAATAAAGAAAATTCTTTTAATAGATACTACAGTATATATAGAAAAACAGATTATAATTTAAGAATTTATCAAAAAAAAAAATCTTAGATTACTGGATTTTTCACAATTTTAATTAATTGATATAATAATTATTGAATAATATGAGTTTGAATGTATCAATTGAGGTAAAAGTGGTTCACTCGATGATATGATTTACTCGATGATAAACTACGTTATATTCCTAATCGATTGAGTTCAGAATAACAAAAGCTGTCTTTCAATAATGAAACTAAACATTGCCTATAATAAGATACTATTCTTATTGAATTCGAAATTGTTTTGATAACGTTGTAGTAGAATGAATATTGAAAATTTAACGTTTAGGTGTTTTTGATAAAGTACAGAAAGTCACGTTTTGGAAGCTAGTTATGAAATTGAGTGTAACGGTTAGCGAAGGTACACGAATCGAAGAAGACCTTTCTATTGACAGTGACACCAAAGATCAAGTGATGTAGTGATGAATGTAGTGATATGTATGTAGAATGAATGAAATATGAGCAAGGTGAATAATATTTTGAACACCATCATGAATTGAATGTAGGTAATGGCTCTCCTGTTCTTTGCCTTCATGATTTAAATGACTATTGTTTTTGTGGTTTGATATAGGTCAGCAATCACAAATTGCAACTGTTATACGAGATGTACGTCGGAATTAGTTGACAAGTCTTATATAGTAAATAGCAATCAAATTTACATTAGCGATCAATTATATCGAGAGGTATGACTACTATCTTATAGTACTATTCAGCTACTATCAGCCCAAACACCTTTTCACATCAAATGTCAACATTTTGCTATGTTTTCAAACACAAAAATCTCTATTAATGATAGTTAAAATCTCTTAAATTTTTATTTATATAGAGCTTTATAATAATAATGTATGAACGTAGGTGAATAACATCAATTCAATGACTATCGTACTAAGCCTAAGCGAATGCGAAAGAGACTAGCTTCCTCTATAACACCTATATAAGACCTACTATTTCCTGTATATAGCTAGCTCTTTAGATAGAATATAATATAGACATTTAGGATCTACAATTCGTAGGTGCTACGTCTTTCGTATCCTTCTTAAATCAACAAATAATTAATATTTTCTATTATACGTCTTACAAGGGGTAATATGGGAATTGCTTCAAAGATTAATAATCAGATAAAAGAATTATACTAAGGAAGGAAGATCTTCCTAATGAACCAACCTTTATATAGACATTGGTCACGTGACTATCTATTCGTCATTGACCAGACAGGGGTCTAGGCATGACATTTTCAATATTTTAAAGTTTTTAGAAATTTTCAACATAGAAATTTATATAATTGAATCAAAATATCAAAAAAGTTACTTGATTTTCATTTATTTTATTAGTAAATTCAATTATTTTCTGAAATATTCTAATTTTATATCTATAATTTAATTCATAAATTTTAAAAAAATCAAAAAATTTATTGTTTCTAAATTTCTATTGAAAATGAAATAATCAATATATAACATAATATACAAGGAACTTAAACATATAGAGAACTCGAACAGGTATCTTTACACCAAAATTTGTATATAAAGGTACTTAGAGCGACTTTTATATCTCTAGAAATACTAGAAATATAGTTTCGATATTTTGAAGTATAATATATTCAATATAAATATTTAATATAATAAAATATCATAAAGATATGAAAAAGTTTAATAAAAATATTAAAGTTGCTTTCAAATTTTCGATTTTGTTTAATAAAAATTACTATAGGAATTTTCAAAGTTATATCAATTCAAGAACGATATTATTAAAAAATGTTTTATAACTTTAATACTATATTTGTATTAGATATTAAGTCTAATTATTAAAAAATTTAAAATTATCTTTAATATTCATAGAGATGTAAAAAGTCGTTTTGAGTATCTTTATATACAAATTTTAATATAAAGATATCTGTCCAAGTTCCTCATATATCCGAGTTCCCTATATATTATATTACCAAAATCATATTACATAAATAATTATAAAGATATTTATACTAATAGATGATAAGTTTTAGTATAAAAAGGCGTTTTGACTGATAGCAGTTGATACTAACTGTATAACATCAGCTGTTTAACACGTTCGTTTGCTCATCCCTTAGGTGTGAAAGTGGTTTTCAAGTGATTAATCAAGGCTATGTTTTGATTACTGCATATGGAAGAAACGCCCTGACATGATAATAGAAGTCTAGTATCCGAGCTGACTAATTCTCTTACAAACTTTATGATTTTTTATGTCATTGATGTCAGGTAGTTTGAGTGTAAGCTTTATTCTTTGAATTTCTGTTGTAGAGAGTCAATGGGACATTTATCCCTACTAGCCCGTTCCAGAATTTCAACCTCTTCCTTCCTCCACAGTCACTTTCTTCACACCTTCTCTAAACAATCCCGCGTTTAATAGTAACTAAAAGTCACTGGCCCTTTGCTTCCCAAGCTGAACAATTCCCTGCTATTAATATTCTATTTGACGGACGTGTCTATTAGTGATATCCGAGATCATTGGTGACGAGTAGCAGTATGGTACATAGTCAGGACGACAATATGGCTGATATGGTCTCGGTGTGTTAACGTGCTTGTTGATGGCTGTTCATTCAAAGTGAGGTGATTTCCTAATATAGTAGCTCAATGAGTTTGCGAAAATGCTTGAATGTCCTTGGGCTCTATAAATAATGACCTTGTCTATGCTAAACTGTCTTATCACTACCTCTGAATTGTTTTCGCATATGACTCATTGTTTTCAGTACATCCTAGGCTTACATAACATCGGTAGGCCTTCTCATTAAATTCTGTTTCTGTGGCCGTTTAATTCAAACACTTTTCGGATGTGTCATTAGAAGAAATTCTCAGAAAGCTGTCGGTCTATCTTGACAGACCAAAAATCGGGAATTGATCGAGTGAGCTACTTCACAACCAGCTTGATTAAAGCAAACGAATGAAATAGGATTATTATTCAGATCACACAAATCCTCGCTAAAAGCATTTCCCAGAGTTCTTAGATACACATCCAGTAATAATTTCCAATGTCTCAACATTCAGTTCTATCCCCAACCTATTTGAGGGCGCAAATATCCGGAAAGCGATTACTGGCAGACGTAAAGTGTAATAATCCGCGAGAAAAAGATTACCCAAAGCAAAGCCTACTTCTTGATTATCAAGCTTTGCTGGACAGCAAGTGGAACGGCATGAATGTGATACGGCCACTATTTGTGTATCTCAATATTCTGAATATTCCTACAGATAACGAGTCATGGGAAGGATTTGAAATTTTTTATCAAAAGAAAAATTTAGACCCCAAGGACCTGAAGGTAAGTTCTCGTCGATTAACACTGTCGTAACTTCTGGATGATTTGTGCTTAACATTCTGGCATTGCCGAATAATGTGATATCTGAGTCAGAGTACATCACTGGAGAGACTTGTAATTTTTCACTCACCGAGAGAGCTTCTGTTTTATACACAATAGTGAGTCTCCAGATCAGGTTTTGGTTCATGAATACACAAATGAATATGTCACGTTCGACCTCCCTCCTATTTAGCCGAAACCTCACTTTCATCTCAACATCAGATGACAATCAGTTCCTAAACGTTTCATTATCAAAACACGAATATCACACAGTCCATTGTTCATGGAAATAAGCTAACGATCTTTTGCTTCAGATACCAATTCCTCATTATGATTTAGCCATGAACTTTACAGTAAGTGTTCACGGCGTTTCGATGCATCCAAATAATGGGATGCTCGACACAACCTTCCCATTTTCTGAATTCAAAATGTCAAAAATGTATCAAGCGAAGCTTTCCACAGCCAAGCTTACCAGCGTACTAGCTATAACCTGTACATCAAGTAACACAAACACATTTTAGCACAGCGTAATAGCAGCATACGACTCCATGAGCCCGTATCAAGTTGAGCTTCTCAAAAACATCCAAATGCCCACCATCCCTGACCTCAGTAGATGGTCCCATATCACATGTTTGAAATGGGCCGAGGTCTGCAAGTTTCACGGCACGGAAGTGTGCAATCCAAACTACGTCGTCCAACACCCTGTAACGAATCAGATAACATTGGACATCACAGATGAAGTACTGAAGAAAAGAGGAGAATCGCTCGGGCCATCGGGATGTGTGGTGTCAATGGGAGATAGCAATGGTCACCGCGCTGCATTATTGGGCACCCCGAATGGAAAAGGAGATGCTTGGCTCCTGGCTCAACATAAGGAGGCTTTCAAAGACTCGACAATCATCAGTGTGGAGATATTTTTGTGTAAACCTGTAAATAACGGGGCCGAGACAGAACCTGAACATCCATCTGATAAGTCTTCGTGGTTCAACCTCAGTTTTCGAATTGGCCAAGAATGATCCACACATTACTTCTCCGTCAACTGATTGAAATTGGCTCGGACATTCCGATATGTAGAAATAATGAAGGAATAAAGGGGACGTTGGTATGAAGGAGAGTTTCGACATGGAAAGGGAGAACATATACGGAGTTTCTAGATTGAAACATTAGATAAAATGCACTGCTTCATTTACAGAATCAGCTTTCCAGTGAGAATGAATCAGTATTCAATGAAGACATCCTCGTATTCAATTCTCGCAGTATCCCGCCAGTCTATACTACCAGTGGAACATTCCTCTTACCAGAACTGTGCATTTGTCAAAGAATGTCACATTTTCAAATATCAAGTGAAGAATATCATGGACCAATAATCGACATTTGTTCTCAATACTGAATTCTTATTTTCAGAAGATTGGATCTCATTTTAACTCTTGACTAATCTCATCACACTGATATTAAGCCCTCCCTTTCATATACCAGCCCGCTAGCTATCGGCTCTCAGGTACGTTCTTTTCCGAATTGTTTTCCGTCTCAAAAAGAAAGAGTGATACGAATCCAGAAAACACCATCCATCCAACCATCCAATGCAGAAAATATACGCCTTAAAAATTCGAGATTAATTTCAGATATTCCCCTCCCCGATAGAATCGCTCACATGCGCGCAAATGCTAAGCACTCCTCTGCCCCTCCCCTTTTCCGATCCCTATTCAAATCTCCCCATCTCTCCATTTTGAAACCCCCAATATTCTTATCCATCTTCATCTACATAGCAGCTAATTCAGAATCAATACTCCTGTCCAAAAACGTCCTCCTCTCACCAACCAACTCAGTCTGCAACCTTTGTTCGACCAAAGCTCTAACCTGTTTCTTCGTAACATTGTCTAGATCTACCTCCCTCAAACAATTTTGAATAGCCTCTACAATCTGCAAATCATCTGGACCGGCAGTACCCCTTTGGAAATCAAATCCACTAGCAGGTCTATCAATCGCAGCTCCTGCTAAAGGCGAACGAGCACCACCTGTGAAGCCTAGCGAAGATCGTGATTGATGTCGCCCTTGACCGCCACCGAGAAGATTGTCGGAAGACATCATCTGCATCGAAGGACGATTGTTGCCAGGGTAGTCTTGATATGGCGAGGCGGAATGATCTTGGCGAAGAGACATTGCAGATTGATTGCGGAGAGGGTGGTCGGTGTATTGGTTTGCGGAATAAGTAGATTGAGGAGGCATATATGGACCGCGACCAGGGAAACCGGTTAGAATAGTGGAGGCTGGCTTGACAGATGAGTACATGGATTTCATGTCATCCATTTCGTATTGATCATCGAATGTATCATATGCCTTTTCAACTGCTACTCCGCGACGTCCTGGAAGGTTGTTGTGTAAAGCGTAATCATCCCATCGTTGAAGAGGAATGCTTCTTGGGTCAAATGTTTCGCCATCCACGGCCACAACCTTTGCAAATCCCTTTTCTCCCAGGACAATACGTGTGTTACCCCACGAGAAGTTGTCTTGGTTCCAGAATGAGTAGATGGGTAGAACGAAAGAGTAAATTGGGAACGCAAGGATATAAATAATCATCCACCCAACGTGTTGCCATTGACGTTTGAGAATAAATATCAAAGCTTGTAAACCATATGTACCAGCAATCATACAAATCGAAATGAGGGGGAATTGACCTTGATGCGTTCCGACTTTGTACAGCAAATATGCTAGATAGACTGTGGTTGCAGGAAGAATAATTGTACCGAAGAGATCGATGAAGACAACGAATCTCATGCTGAAACAACAGAATCCACACAGTTCAGGAAGCCAGACCAACTCAGCTAGATTGTGGATGGTAGAATTGATCCAACGTCTTCTCTGAGACAGAAGAACACTCCAGGTTTCAGGCGCGGCAGTACTGGCATATGCATCTGGAATGAACTTGTACTTCATATATGGGAAGTGCTTGGTCATCAATGTAGTTAAGAACCGATCCTCTCCAAGAGACAGAAGATTCTTCTTGTGCAAAGTATCAACAACACACTCACTGTACTCGTTGATGATGGCATCAGCGATAATCAATGGTTTGCCTTTATCAGCGGTACGTAGACGATACATAGTGAAACTATAGAGCAGGTATTAGTATGCTGCATATAATGAGTAGAGGCTTAGAAAAAGGATTACTTACCAACCAGGTAAACAAGTGACACTTCCGAATAGAGATTCGAAGGCCTTTGCCAAATGATGCGAGATGAAATATTCGTAAACTTGAATCATCGTCCACCAAGAACGTTCCTCGTTTTCGAGATTGGTCTCACCACAAATACCGGCGATTTTACCATCATTGGAACAGGCAGCCACGAGACGATTCAGCGAGTCTTCCCTTACACTGGTATCGGCATCAATCATGAGTAGATATTCGTAAAGCTCTGGATCCACGCCAATAATGTTGTTGATTTGATGGAACATTTCCAACTCCAGTGGGTTCATGGGTGCTCTGTGATGGACGCGATTGAGGAAGCTCATAAGAAGAATTTGAGTGTCACGTTTTCCACGATTACCGGGCTTCGACTTGGATTGCTCGGATTCCTTGCCAACCTTGACCACTACAATATATGGGACCACATTTCCTTCAAATTCATATAGGCCTGAGTATACCTTACCATAGTTGAGCTGCTCGTTGCCATCTCCGACGGATTTAAACGGTAAGGCGGGAGGGTCGATCTTGGGATCTACACCAAGAATATCGAGGATGATCTTTGGTGTAGGGCGATCATTACCACCTCCTACAACCATACCATCACAAACGACACAGATGAGCTTCCTTTTATTATCGTATTGTAAAGCTGTCAAAGAGTCCAAAGCTTTACGCAATGAGTCTTCACCTTCGGTATATGCTGGAACTTGGCAAATGATAAACTTGTCTTGAGGAGTTGGACGTCGCTTCGAACCAAATTGCAGTGCAGAGACGAACTTGATGACAATAACACTACACAACATAATTGTGAAGGCAAGAAGGATGTAGTTGTTGATCTGACATTTAATGGAATCTCGAAAATCGGGAATGCCTGCATAGAACAGATTGTTCATGCAATTCAAGTTATTGAGGATATCAACTTGATAAGATGCATTGGCGCTTTTGTAATTGTCATCCCATTTACTCGTGATATCTAAACCCGGATTTCTGAGTACCATTTGATAAATTGTATCATCAATGAATTCATAAGTGTCCAGATCAGCATAGAGATCCAATGTGTAGTAATAATTGGTGAAGTCGTAGATTTTGCCCTTTAGAATCACCCAATAATGTTCATCGTCTTGGCCTTCACTATTGATCGTACTTTTCTTGACTACTAGATCACCATGGTAATACTCTTTGATTGCAGGTGTGTACACGTCCGCATACCAATTCCAGTCATAAAGCTTACTGGAAGTATATGCGGAAAGATTGCCAGATGTATGGACTCCGGAAGGATATTCAGCAGTAGTGTTGTCCTGTAGTACCAAGGTGTAGTCGGTTACAAGACCAGGGCATGCAACAATCAATGGTGGCGGGAAGTAGTCGTCCAAGTTCAGACCAGCAAAGGGTTGCATGACATCGGAGGTTGTCGTGACAGAGGTATCACTATGCTGCAACTTCCAGAACTTGGAAAGATCGTATACTTTTCCATGAATGCTGACCCAAAAATCGTCATCTCCTTGATGAGTGGCGACTTCTTTCGCATTCCATGCTTTATCAGAATTTGGACAGAGGAGTTTACCAAATTCAATAATCCAGAAAACAACCAAGCAATTGAGGAAGAGAATAAAGAAGCACAACACTAGCTTTTCTCTCCAAGCCATGCGCACATCTGGTCGCTTCATCCGACCAATAAATGAAAGAAGAAAGGAAGGAATCCACCATGTGAAAGCCCAGGTAGTAGCGACCCAGATACGACGCTGGTTTGTTGCCTTTTCATTGACAACCGCTTTCGCGGTGCCACCTTCGGGTCATCCACCATTTCTCCATTCTCATCGGTGTAGTAAACCTGTCCCCTCATATCATCTCCCTTGAAGCCGAGTCCATAGTCACCACCACTGACATTCCTTGATGGTGCGATAGTGGGAGCTCCGAGGTTACTCCGAGCTACGTTGACTTGACTTTGACGATTCATGATATTATCGTGACTTCCAAGAGGCGCCAGATCATTATTAGGACCAGCAAAGAAACCGCTTCCGTTTGGTGGGTTGGAGGAGTATCCTGTATTCATGTCGTGGGCTCCTAACATGCCTGCCATGCCTCCGGGACCGCCCATACTTTGGAACTCCCCTTCGGTCGGCTTTAGGTCAAGCATGGTTTCAGCTTCCCACCAAGCACTTTCGCGGATCCATATCCGTTCTTTGCCGATGACGACTTCACCATTGCTCCAGCCACGTTCCATGGTCCAGCTTTCAATGCCATCACGCCCATCCTTACACCCAAGGGGGGCATATCGTTGAACGAATTCTTCGAAATCGAAATCGGCTGTGAAATCCAAGTTCTTGTTTCGTCGATTTGCCCACTCTGGCAAGCGCCATGCGCGAAGCTGGCGTGAGATAGCACCCGCGGACCAAGCCGAAGTTGTTGAAGGAAGCGAAGCTAGAGCTGCAGGTGAATCGTCGGTAGGATGCATAGATAAGTGATACCAGACACGACTGCTGCCAAGGACGGAAGGTAGATCAATACGACCGTTGCGGCCTAGATTGATACCTTGTCCCTCGATTGGGAGCAGAAGCTTCTTGAGGAAACCATCATCTTCTCCTTCACGGGCAACCTTCTCCAATACGATCTCACGCTTCTCAAGCTCGTGTTCGCGATCTCTTCCAGAAGGTCCAGTCATAATACCAAGATCTGGAGCAACTTCAGATACAGCATTCTGCATCTCTCGGATGACAGTTGAGCCAGCAGAAACCACATCAACACCATCTTCTTTCATTTCGGCATTGATACCCTGAGTATCGTCAAAGACACCTCGCATTGCAGCTGCTTTCCCAAGATTTGGGTCTGGAATTTCAAGAACAGTTATGCAAACAGTGTCACCATTGTCGTCTTCTGTATTTGGGGTGCGAGCTCCTGGCCCCCCTTCGCTGGAAGAATCCCCGTCCTTGATTCTGGTCATCTCACTAGCAATGGCTTCATTGGCCTTCGAAATTACCCAATCTACAAGGGCTTCATAGAGACCGCCAATCAAAGTTTCTCGCTCTTGTGTTGTGCATTGCTTGACGAGAACCTCGGGTTCCAAACCAAGCAGACCTCCGACATCTTCACAAATTTCCTCCAGCGCATCTCCATCAAGAACAAAGCTTAAAGTATCACCTAGCTTCAACAGTCCTGCTAATATTGAGATGAGATCTCTGTGTGCGGCACCCTTGATACCAATGGCTTTTAATGATGCTCTGAAGTCGTCTGCAGCAGCTGCATCATCCGCGGTAGGAAGGTACGATGGAGGGTCATATGTGCCAGACTTTTCCAGAAGCGCGTAACTCGAAGCTTGCTTTAAGCTCAAGAATTCTCGTTCGGCAGGAGTCGAGGCAGATGTGAGGAGGTAGTAGAAGACGTCGAAAGCTCGATATCCTGGTTCGGATGGAAGGTTTAATAGCCCCTTTTTGGTATCAATCCCACCCTCTGATAATGCTATCGATGCAGCCGTGAGATTTCCAGCAAGTGAAAGAGTCAAGGTCACACCAAGAGCAGATTGTCGAGGTGTAGATGGATTCTGAGGAGAGACACAGTGAATAAATGGTCGTAACACTTCAAGGGCAGTATATAATGAGTCGGGAATGGTAAGAGGGAGAGTGTTGAGGAAAGGAGCCAAAATGGAAGGAGTAGACTCGTGAAGAGAACTATTATCTAGTTAGCTTTGGAATCCGAAGAAGGTTCAATGGACCTCATACCCTAAAACGATACAACCATCTTCCGCACGTCTTCTAGCATGTTCCCAAGCTCGTGCGGCCAAGGCTGAATCTATTACACCTCCCGTTCTTCCTTCACGATCAGGTTGTGAAGCAGATAGCCAAGTGTTTACAACCAAGCTACTGCTAGCATCCAATCGATATGGTTGACCAGATGTGTAAATGTGGTGCACGGCGTTTAAAAGTGTCGTTGCTGTTACTTGAGATGACTGTTGACCCGCCGAGTGAAAGTGTCGAGCGGCTCCTGTAGCAGAAGATGTCATGGAATATGTAGACATTCGATTGTTGCCCGCCATCGTGTAATACAGATGGGGGGGTTTTTCCTCCCTCACTTCGATCTTAAAGCCTTATTTTGTCGATTTCAATGTTTTCCAACACTCCAACACTCAATCTTCTTTCCCAAACCAACCCCTTTCCAAGATTTTTTTTATTGTAGATGAAATATCTTCGATATCAAGAGTCTCGGCAGTCGCGTTCTTTTGATATTGATTCAATAGTATGATATGGAAAGTTATTTGGTGTTATTTTGTTTCCAAGGGAAGTCTTCTTTCTTATGTGATCGCTGAGCAAGTGAATTGGATTGATGCAAGTGCACAAAAACGAGAGTTGGGAATGAATATTAAAAGGATGATAAAAAAGGACTGAATGGATTTGAACCGCCTTCACCAAACGAATGAGGTGAATTAGATAGAATCAATGGCACCAAAAATGGAGAAGTCGGAATGAGATGAGGAAAATGCAAAAGCCAAAAATGATAGGAATGTTCTGTTCATACCAACTGCACTGGCTGGTACTTGAGAATAACTTCTTTTGGTTATGGTTATGGGTATGGGTTAGGACGATTAGCAGGGAGGGTAGGATGATTACCTAGCAAGAAAGGGTGCTACGGTAGACGATAGAGACATCCCCTGGAAACAAAATAAATAAATAAATAAATAAAGATGTCGCTAGTGGTAAAATGGCAAATGGCAAATAGCAAATGGCCAATGGTCAATGGTCAATGGTCAATGTCATAAATATCTAAACATTAGCTACGACCTACGACCCACGACCTACGACCTACGGACTTACAACCTACTTCCTCTTTTCCTTTTCCTTTTCCTTTTCCTTTTCCAGTCTGGAGCCAAGTCTCCCTATGGTGGCTCCATCAATGCCTTTTGCAGAACATGGGTCCATGGGTCCAGGATTATTTATGTTAAACTATCTTGCTAAGCCGCGTATTGGGAAAGAAAAAAAAGATAAATACGAGACTTGCTGTGGTTGGATCAATGCTGTTTTAATCTTTGGATTTTATCTTCCTAGTCGGTAGGAATTTAAATGATATACATGATACTAGACACATACTTTGTGGTCGTCGCTACACAGTGCAGAGTATGTGAAGGAAAATTGGAGATGCCACACACAACTGAATTGCCACCCGCGAGCCACTGCATTCAATGCATAGAGAGGAAAGAGGACCTGCCTAGGCGTGCTGAGGTAGTTGGACCCTTTTAATTGTTATACATGTCACGATAGACGATTGACGATTGATGATTGATGATTGATGATTGATGATTCACCATTCGACATTCGCCATCCACCCACCCTTCCGATCCAATCGTATTCGCTCAATATCATCATTCATGAATCCATACCTACCACCCTATGGTCCATACCTCGTACCGACCCAAGGACAAACATTTTAAAACAGCGACAAACTTCAAATTTATTTTAAGAAACCCACATGTACTAGGGAGCTTCTTAGTTTTCCATAGTCGAAGTCTATCGAAGACCACATCGGAACTCATTGTCCATCGTGAGACATTTGAGCATTTAGACCTAATACTTGCAGCTCTATCAGCGCATATGATTTAAAACGACCTTACGATCTAACACATTTTGGCATTTCCATGCTAGATCAATCAGTCAAAGTGTTCCCAAAGTTGCCCATAGCTCGGTGAATCCTTACTCCATCAATTCATCGACCTACCTACGCAGTCCATCCTGCCTAGGTGCGCTCGACGTGCTTTGCTTCGATCATCACACACCACGGAAGGTATGTACATACACGCGCCGAGTCCTCTTTCCACACACATCACAGTGATCATGCAGTTGGGAAATGTGTGAAGGGGATACAATCCCTCCGTAGGCCGTAGGTAGATGATGCATCTGCCTACAGAGGACTGCACAATTTGGGATCCATTTATTAATAACAAGCATCTCATGAATTCGAATTTCGACAGTCAAAGAATGATGTGTGCAACAAATAGGGGGCATATTGCTGTATATACCTAACAGATGACTATAAAATGATCCTTGTTCATTAATCAATCAAGCAATCAATCATCAATCAATCATCAATCAATGAATCAATCAATCAATCGATCCATATTATTTTTGCCTGGATCTATTCAAGATACTCGGAGTCAGTTGTTTTGAAGATCTACCCACATTTGACTTACCCCTTGGCTTACTAATTAAGCCATGGAACTGCTGGAAGGAAATTTTGGGCGGACGTCGCGTCTCTAGAACTTCCTCGGAACGATCCCCCCCCCCCCAGCCCCACTACACGTATGTTGAGTTGTTGACGGGCGTCAAAATTAAAATACCGGTAGAAGGAAGAATGGAGGCGGAAGAAGCCTTGTGAAGGGTGCTGGGGAGGGGGTGTCTTGAGGGGATGGTTGTATTAAACTCGAGTACGATGTATGTATGTATGTATGTAGGTATGTATTTATATTGTCTTGTATGCGTGTACCATAATATAATAAAAGCAGTCAATTTTGCGAGAGGAGAAAGGAGTAAATCAAAAGTCGAGAGCAGTATGTGTGTGTGTGCGTGTGTGTGTCAATTATCGATCTATAACATGATACACTGGTATCACACAACAAGATATAAAATTGGACATTGGATATCGTGATACCGTATCAAACCTGACTTTCCTGTACTTCGTAAAAGATGTTGATGGGCGAGATGGGTTGATGCTTGTGATACCCATCTACCTCGTACTTGATCAGTCCCTAGGAGCCCTTCTAATATGTGGATCAGTTGGTCTATCTATCATCCATCTCCATCCTCTTCATTCCCTCGAAATTCCCCATCACTTCCTCTTCCCTTCTATTCGGCTCCTATCATGCCAAGCGTGCCAATCAATCGGGAATGTTCGAAGCGACGAAGAAGGCTTTTCATGATAACATGGAGTGAGTGAGTGTGTGAGTGAGTGAGTGAGTGAGTGAGTGAGTGAAAATACCGAGTAGCTCGAGATTAGTATGGTGATTCGATCAAGCCCTTGGTAAGCATTTGTTATTTATTGGTGGCTGTGTATGATCGTTGATTGTCTAGTATGCGGGTATGTTGATTTGTTCCTCGATGATCATCCGCTTGATTTCTCGTGTTGATTGAACAATATAAAAAATCTGGAACGAGGTGGTGGCGTGTAGCTTTTTTTTCTATGGAGCACGTTCGGGGGATTTCTGAATGTTTAAGTCTTCTTCTTTTCTTTTCCTCCAAGTCACATTATTGGATCTTCCAAATAACCTTATGTGGTGAGCTGTCTGAGGCGGGATTTAAGCTCCTTAGCAAGTTTAAATTGCCGTTCTGCTTTCTCCCTCTCTCCTTACTATATTCTATGACTGTGTGACTACAATGTAGATGACTATATGAGCACTATGCACTATATGCTATATGCTATACTATATCCTCCATCCGTATTTCTTCATGGCGCAACTTCCCTGCTGATAAAACCCCTGGTCGTTCCTCCTTAAAATAGTTCACACACGAGAAATGTTAAACCCCAAGTAATCATTACGGTAGACCATAACAACATCCAAACTCCCAAATCCCATAATATTCATCTCCCCTGTAAACATTAAACCAAATCACCTTCTCGTACCTAACCAAAATATTTCCCTTTACTTGCTGCTTGTAGGAAAAGGAAAGTCCATTGTTTTTGGGTAAAAAGAAGGGATTCACAACTTTCCCCCCTTCAACTCTAACATCAAATAACATATTCATTTCTTTTCTTTTCTTTTGAATTGCTTCCTTGAACCTTTTCTTTGGCATCTTTGCAATACATTCGCTTTCGTCTGTTGCTCATCATTCACTCGCTATCTAGTCCGTTTTTAATAGAGTCTTTCGTTCTCTTCAAGAACTTAAACCTGACATATTACCCCTTCGCTGACCCAACATTTACCCCCCAAACGAGGTCCAATATATCAATATCGATAATACTTCTTCCTCGACATTTTCCAGAGGCTCGATTATACATTGACGCACAAATACAAAAATTAAGGGTTTCGACCCAAATCCATCCATCATGGCTCTCAACAATCCAAGTAGCGGAGCTCACTCGCAGCCATCCCTTCCTGCTTTACCAGCCCATTTACAATCAGATACACATTTAACTGCACATCTTGCAAGTCGATTCCATGTTTCATTACCAACGGCGGACCTGTCCTCTCATGCCTTAATATCTCTCAACACATATTCTTCTTCGACAAAAGGTCCAGATGGAGGTAAAGAAGGGAGTGCAATGGGGGGCGCCGAGGGCATGGCCGACAAGGCGTACACAAGACTTGGGGCCAGAACCGAGAACCAAGCCATAGTCTTCTTGTAAGTGGATGATGTGATATTCATGATTCCCCAAAACATATTGCTAATTGGACAAATAGAGGAGAATCAGGATCCGGCAAAACCACCGTTCGTTCTCATTTGCTTTCGGCTTTACTGAGCAAATCCGGTACACCTCTTTCCACCAAATTATCTCTGTCCGCATACGTCTTCGATACTCTCACATCCACTAAAACCGCTACCACCCCAACCGCTTCGAAAGCAGGTCTGTTCTTCGAGCTTCAATATGATACAGCATCCACAGTCAACCCAACCTTGATTGGTGGAAAGGTTCTCGATCACAGATTAGAAAGAAGTAGAGTTGCGGCTGTACCGACTGGGGAGAGGAATTTTCATGTACTGTATTACCTTTTAGCTGGTACCAGTGCCGCTGAGAAGGCACATTTGGGATTAGATTCATCCGCAGACCATGGAGGCGCTGGTAATCGACTTTCTACTGGAGGCCAAAAGAGATGGCGATACCTTGGTCATCCAACGCAACTAAAAGTGGGAATCAACGATGCAGAAGGTTTCCAGCTGTTCAAGACAGCATTGAGAAAGTTGGAATTTCCAAGAAGTGAAATCGCCGAGATTTGCCAGATTTTGGCTAGTATTCTTCACATTGGTCAACTTGAGTTCGAAACAGCGGAAAATACAGCAGCAATGGGTGACGACAGCGGCGGTTATTCACACGAAGGTGGTCAACAATATA